GGGAGGGGTTGAGTGGTGGCAGAGTGAGGGGGAGACACAGTGAGTGGGGGTGACTGGTGACAGAGTGAGGGAGTGGGTGACTAGTGACAGAGGGAAGGAGAGGGGGAGACTAGTGACAGAGGGAGGGAATGGGAGACTAGTGACAGAGTGAGGGAATGGGTGACTAGTGGCAGAGTGAGGGAATGGGAGACTAGTGACAGAGTGAGGGAATGGGTGACTAGTGGCAGAGTGAGGGAGGGAAGGGGTGACTAGTGACAGAGTAAGGGGATGACTGGTGACAGAGTGAGGGGGGGGGTGACTGTCACTAGTCACCCCACCCCTCTCTCTGTCACTAGTTACTCCCTCCCTAACTCTGTCACTGTGTCACCCGCTCCCTCACTCTGTCACTAATCACCCCCTCTCTCCCTAGTCACCCCCTTCCTTACTCTGTCACTAGTCACCCCATCCCTCTCTCGGTGTAACGAGAATATACCCCTACACGCAGGATCCAGCTAAACAGAGGCAAATACAGAGGAGAGATACGTCTACCGGACCTTAGAATGGCCGGACTCGACGTATATGAGAGAAGACAGAGCCAAGAACAAACCGAGGTCAAGGGCACAGAGAGACAGCGTAAACTAGGACAAGCCGGGGTCTGGTACACGGAAAACAGCAAGCCGGCAAACAGTACAGATAAGGATAAAGCGAAAACGAAGTCAGAACACGAAGCCAAAGTCAATACGAGAAAACACAACTGAACACCACAAGCGCTAAAGGGAACTGAAACAGAAACCACGATAGGGCAACGAGCTAAGGGAAAAAGGTAAGTTTAAATAGCTTTAAAACGAAAGTGATTGGCTCCTGTCACTTCCACACCCCCTACAGGTAATTGTACAGGGAGTGTGGTATGACAGGAGCCAATGGGAGCCTTTTGGCAATTAGGCTCCCACTGTCTCTTTAAGAGCGCGCCCGAGACTCGCGGCGCGCTCTTAGTTTCAGGCGGGACACGTGACCGCTTCACGCGGTCACTGCCCGCCTTCCATCTGAAGCAGTCGGATGAGCCGCGCACGGCTCGTGCAGCCGCAGGACCGCGCGCGGCTTGAAGAGAGGACCCCGACCGGCCCCCGGTTAAGGTAAGTAACGCTACAGTACCCCCCCCTGAGGACACGCCCCCCGGGCGGGTAGGACCAGGCCTGGCAGGAAAACGAGAATGGAAAGAGCGCACAAGACGGGGAGCATGGACAGCATCAGCCGAAATCCAACTGTGCTCCTCAGGCCTATAACCCTTCCAATGTACCAAGTACTGAAGTCGACCCCTAAGGAAACGAGAGTCAAGAACAGCAGACACTTCAAACTCCTCATGACCCTCCACCGAGATAGGAGGGGGAGGAGGAGTATGCCGGGTATAGCGGTTGCGTACAAAGGTTTCAACAATGAGGTGTGAAAAACATTAGGAATACGTAGATTCTTAGGCAGGCCTAAGGCATAAGAAACAGGATTAACCTTATGTATAATACGATAAGGTCCAATGAAGCGGGGAGCCAATTTCATAGAAGGCACCCGGAGACGAATATTCCGCGTGGAAAGCAAAACCCTGTCCCCCACAACATAGGACGGAGCTGCTCTGCGATGCTTGTCAGCCTGAGCCTTCTGGCGAGCAGCAGAGTCCACCAAAGAACGCTGAACCTGCTCCCAAGTATTACGCAAACCAGCCAAATGCTCATCCAGAACTGGCATGCCCTGTGAGGAGAATGCAGCCGGAAGAACAACGGGATGCTGGCCATAGACAACGAAAAAAGGGGTCTTGCCGGAAGAATCATGAGTGGTGTTATTCCGAGCAAATTCAGCCCAAGGAAGCAGGTCAGACCAATTGTCCTGATGGTGAGACACAAAACAACGGAGGTATTGCTCCAGAGACTGGTTGGCACGCTCAGCAGCCCCATTAGACTGGGGATGATAAGCGGAAGAAAATGAGAGAGAAATACCCATTTCTGAACAAAAGGCCCTCCAGAACCTGGAAATAAATTGGCTACCCCTATCGGATACAATAGACACGGGAATCCCATGTAATCGAAATACTTCTCTAGCGAAGATATGAGCCAGTTCCTTAGATGTGGGCAACTTGCGAAGAGACACGAAGTGAGCCATTTTGGAGAACCGATCCACTATCATCAGGATTACTGTGTTACAATTTGAAGGGGGTAATTCAACAATAAAATCCATGGACAGGTTAGACCAAGGTCTCTCGGGAACGGGTAACGGATGCAACAGCCCACAAGGAACTCTACGGGAGGATTTCATACAGGCACAAGTAGTACAAGCATTTATATAGTCAGTGACATCCTTTCGTAAGGAATCCCACCAAAAATACCGAGAAACAGCTGACACCGTTTTGGAAATACCAGGATGTCCAGCGGTCTTAGTATCATCATATAATGACATAATATCCCGTCTCTCAGGAACATCAACGAACAGTTTATCATTAGGCCTCTCGCTAGGTGCCATGCTTTGTTTCGCTTGTATGGTCTGCAAGAGGGACGAGGAAATAGACAAAATAGTAGTAGCTATTATCCTGTCTGGGGGAATGACAGGAGTAACATCAATCTCCTGTTTGTCAGTAGTTTCGAACTGTCTGGACAGAGCGTCCGCTTTAGTGTTGCGATCACCTGGCCTATAGGTGATAATAAAATTGAAACGGGACAAAAATAGTGACCACCTAGCCTGCCTGGAAGACAATCTTTTGGCTTCGCTAAGGTAGGATAGGTTCTTGTGATCCGTAAAAATGATAGGATCCTTAGTTCCTTCTAACAAATGTCTCCACTCTTTAAGTGCTAAAATAATAGCAAGGAGTTCGCGATTACCCACATCATAATTTTTCTCTGCTTTGGACATTTGTTTAGAAAAGAAGCCGCATGGATGCAATGGCTTCTCAGGCGACTCTCTTTGGGACAAGACAGCACCTACCCCAATATCCGAAGCATCAACTTCAAGAATATAGGGCAGTGAGGGGACAGGATGCTGTAAAATAGGTACAGAGGCGAACGTAGTTTTAAGAAATTCAAAAGCCTGAAGTGCCTCGGTAGACCAAACACGAGTATTGCCATCCTTTTTAGTCATACGGGTGATAGGTGCTACAATGGACGAGAAACCTTTGATAAAACGTCTATAATAATTGGAGAACCCAAGAAAACGTTGAATAGCTTTCAGACCTTGCGGTAGAGGCCATTCTATTACAGCAGCTAGCTTCTGGGGATCCATACGAAAACCTTTAGCGGAAATCAAATACCCCAAGAACTGGACTTCGGTTTGGTCAAACAGATATTTTTCTAGCTTGCAATAAAGACCATTAGCAAGAAGGGTCTTCAAAACTGTCGTAACATGTCTGTGATGAGTGTGTATATCTGCAGAATATATTAAAATGTCGTCCAAGTATACGATAACAAATGTGTGAATAAAATCTCTCAAGACATCATTAATAAATTCTTGGAATACTGCTGGGGCATTGCAAAGCCCAAATGGCATAACAGTATATTCGTAATGACCGGATCTAGTGTTGAAAGCAGTCTTCCATTCGTGATTTTCCTTTATACGTATCAAATTGTATGCACTCCTAAGGTCTAATTTAGTGAACACAGTGGCATGTTTCAGCCTGTCAAATAATTCTGTAATCAAAGGTATAGGGTATGCATTTTTGATAGTGATTTTGTTTAGACCTCTATAATCTATACACAGTCTTAAATCACCTTCTTTCTTCGATACAAAGAAGAACCCTGCTCCAGCTGGAGAAGAGGATCTCCTAATAAACCCTTTTTCTAGTGATTCCTTGATGTACTCCTCCATGACACGGTTTTCTTGAACCGATAAGGGGTACACCCTACCCTTTGGAGGTATAGTGCCAGGCAACAAGTCAATAGCGCAATCATAGGGTCTGTGAGGCGGTAATTTCTCAGCCTCCCTTTTATCGAAAACAGTCTTTAGAGATAAATACTGAGGGGGTATAACCATAGACAAAGGAGGACTGGTAGGTACCTCAATAGAATTCAAAGGTGTGACTTCCAACGTACAAGACTTGTGGCAGGCCTTACTCCATGATTTTATTTGCCCTGTCTCCCAGTCAAAAATGGGATTGTGAGCACGTAACCATGGATACCCTAATACTAACTGTGAAGAGGGAGAGGTGATGACCTGGAATCGAATGGTTTCATAGTGTAAAACCCCTGTGTACATGTGTAATGGTTCAGTCTCATGAGTAACAACTGGAGAACTTAATGGTCTACCATCTATGGCCTCAACGGCCAAGGGTATCTCCTTCTCTCTGATGGGAATGTTGTTTCTCTTTATAAAGCCAGAGTCTATAAAATTTTCAGCTGCCCCAGAGTCAACCAGAGCATATATGTTGTCAACTATACAAATCTCTCCCATATATAAAGAAACCGGGAGAAGCAAGCGGTTAGGAGGCAATTTAGGAGACTTAGATATCACACCCAAGGCCAGTCCCCTATAAGGTCTTAGGTGCGAGAGTTTTCCGGGAGTAAAGGACATTCCTTTACCATATGGTCTCTCCTACCACAGTATAGGCAGAGTCCCTCCCTTCTCCTATGTAATTTCTCAGTATCAGAGAGTTTGGCAACCCCTAATTGCATAGGTTCCTCCTCAGACACTTTAACACTCTCTGGTATATTAACTCTGGGGTTAATGGGTGTAACAAAACGTCTATTCCTGTTCTTGGTATAGAGCCTGTCACAAATTCTATTATCAATATCAATGAGGTAATCGATAAGGTCCTCTAAGGCAATAGGAAGCTCCTTAGCTGCTACCTCATCCAATATCGTATCTGACAAACCTTCCATAAAGGCAGTAGTTAACCCATTGTTGGTCCAATCTACCTGCGAAGCAAGAGTGCGAAACTGAATAGCATAATCAGCCACAGACCTAGAACCCTGTTTAATTCTCATTAATGCTCTTGCGGCATTCTTTGACCTTTTCATTGTGTCAAAAGTTCTACGAAAAGCCGTAAGAAAATTGTTGAAATCATGTACCATAGGTCCATTAGCTTCCCAAATAGGATTTGCCCACTCAAGTGCCTTATCGGTAAGTTGGTGCATAAAGAACCCAACCTTAGACCTCTCTGTGGGAAATGAACGTGGATACATTTCGAAGTGAAATTCAATCTGATTAATAAACCCTCTGCAAGTCTTAGAGTCCCCTCCATACCTAGGAGGAGGTGTTAAATGGGCCGAAGTATTAGGCAAAGTAGATACTTCAGGGAGAAGGGGCGTAGGAGGGTTAGGTGTAGTTGCTGGAACGGTTCTAGCTAGAAGCGTCTGGAGAGCCTGAGCTATTTGATCCATACGGTGATCCTGCTCTACAAATCTTGCCTCATGGGACGCCATCTGTTGAGCTAAATCTGCGGGGTCCATGGCCCTATCGTAATGTAACGAGAATATACCCCTACACGCAGGATCCAGCTAAACAGAGGCAAATACAGAGGAGAGATACGTCTACCGGACCTTAGAATGGCCGGACTCGACGTATATGAGAGAAGACAGAGCCAGGAACAAACCGAGGTCAAGGGCACAGAGAGACAGCGTAAACTAGGACAAGCCGGGGTCTGGTACACGGAAAACAGCAAGCCGGCAAACAGTACAGATAAGGATAAAGCGAAAACGAAGTCAGAATACGAAGCCAAAGTCAATACGAGAAAACACAACTGAACACCACAAGCGCTAAAGGGAACTGAAACAGAAACCACGATAGGGCAACGAGCTAAGGGAAAAAGGTAAGTTTAAATAGCTTTAAAACGAAAGTGATTGGCTCCTGTCACTTCCACACCCCCTATAGGTAATTGTACAGGGAGTGTGGTATGACAGGAGCCAATGGGAGCCTTTTGGCAATTAGGCTCCCACTGTCTCTTTAAGAGCGCGCCCGAGACTCGCGGCGCGCTCTTAGTTTCAGGCGGGACACGTGACCGCCTCACGCGGTCACTGCCCGCCTTCCATCCAAATTAGTTGGATGAGCCGCGCGCGGCTCGTGCAGCCGCAGGACCGCGCGCGGCTTGAAGAGAGGACCGCGACCGGCCCCCGGTTAAGGTAAGTAACGCTACACTCTGTCACTAGTCACTCCCTCCCTAACTCTGTCATTGTGAAGGAAGGAAGGGGTGACTGGTGACAGAGTGAGGGAAGGGATGACTAGTGGCAGAGTGAGTGAAGGAATGGATGACTGGTGACAGAGTGAGAGAGGGGGTGACTAATGACAGAGTGAGAGAGGGTGTGACTAGTGACAGAGTGAGAGAGGGGGTGACTGTCACTAGTCACCCCATCCCTCTCTCTGTCACTAGTCACTCCCTCCCAAACTCTGTCACTGTGTCAGCCCGTCCCTCACTCTGTCACTAGTCACCCCCTCTCTCACTATGTCACTTGTCACCCCCTTCCTCACTCTGTCACTAGTCACCCCCTCTCTCACTCTGTCACTAAGGACAGAGGGGGTGATTAGTGACAGAGTGAGGGAGGGGGTGACTAGTGACAGAGTGAGGGAGCAGGTGACACAGTGACAGAGGTAGGAGGGAGTGACTAGTGACAGAGGGATGGGGTGACTAGTGACAGCAGGGGGTGACTAGTGACAGGAGGGAAGTGACTAGTGTGACAGGAGGGGGTGACTAGTGACAGTGAGGGGTGACAAGTGACAGTGGGGAATGACTAGTGACAGTGAGGGGCGACTAGTGACAGAGTGAGGGGTGACTAGTAACAGTAAGGGGTGACAAGTGACAGAGTGAGGGGTGACAATTGACAGAGTGAGGGGTGACTAGTGACAGAGTGAGGGAGGGGGTGACTAGTGACAGTGAGGGGTGACTAGTGACAGTGAGGGGTGACAAGTGACAAAGGGAGGGATGGGTGACTAGTGAGAGTAAGGGAGGGGGTGACTAGTGACAGAGTGAGGGGTGACAGTGACAGGGGGGTGACTAGTGACAGAGTGGGAGTGACAAGTGACAGGTGGGGGTGACTAGTGACAGTGAGGGTGAAGTGACAGGGGGGGTGACTAGTGACAGTGAGGGGTGACAAGTGACAGTGAGGGGGTGACTAGTGACAGTGGGGGGGTGACTAGTGACAGTGAGGGGGTGACTAGTGACAGTGGGGGTGACTAGTGACAGTGAGGGGGGGGAGGGGGTGGTTAGTGCCTACCTGCATCTCTGCTTCCTCTCCCTGGCTGCTGCTCCTTCCCCTCCTGGGCTCTGCGTGAGAGGAGTAAACAGGAAGTGATGTCACTTCCTGGCCCGCCTCTCCCATCACACAGAGCCGCATGGGAGAGGATGCAGGAGACCTGGCAGAGAGCTGGTGAAGCTGCCAGGTCTCATGGGGGGGTGACTAGCAGAGCGGTAGGTTGTGGGGCCCCGCGCTGCATCAGGGGCCCCACAACCTATCAATTAAATAGTTTTATTTTATTATTTTGCCGTTCCAGTTGGAGAGATCTCTGATCTTTCCAGCTGGAGCATGGCTGTGTGGCCGGGCCCCTGACTGCCTCGGGCCCTCGGTCCATGACCGATATGCCCGAGTGGTCAGTCCGCCCCTGTTACATAGTTACATAACTGAAAAGAGACTTGCGTCCATCAAGTTCAGCCTTCCTCATATTTGTTTTTTGCTGTGGATCCAAAATAAGGCAAAAAAAACCCCAGTTTGAAGCACTTCCAATTTTGCAACAAGCTAGGAAAAAAATTCCTTCTTGACCCCAGAATGGCAGTCAGATTTATCCTTGGATCAAGCAGTTATTACCCTACATTGAAAGATTATATCCTTGAATATTCTGTTTTTGCAAGTATGCATCTAGTTGCTGTTTGAACATCTGATTGAATTTGATTCGATTGAAAGAATTAGCTATGTGACCATAGTTTATGCATTTTAACAGAACACTTCCTACAGAATAAATTACCATATCTAATTTTATTCCTATAGCTATCACAGTCCTTGCTAAATGGTTTGTTACACTATCAGGTACCGGGACAGAGAACTCATCACATCTTAACCATTACATCAGGCTGTAGTGGCTATTATGATTGGAATTACCCTTTAATTCAAGATGAAGTTGTTGCACCAGTGACAGGTTCAATGATAAAACCATTTCTTCAGGCAGAGAATTCCACATCCTGATTGTTCTTACAGTAAAAAAACCTTTCCTTTGCCTTAGACGAAATCTTCTTTCTTCCAGTCTAAACGCATGACCTCGTGTCCAATGTAAAGTCCGGTTTGTATTGGCCCCGAATATATTTGTATAATGTTATCATATCTCCTCTCAGGTGATTTTTTTCTAAACTAAATAGGTTTAAATTTGTTAACCTTTCTTCATAGCTGATATGTTCCATTCCTTTTATTAATTTTGTAGCCCGCCTCTGCACTTTTTATAGTGCCATAATATCCTTCTTTAGAACAGGTGCCCAAAATTGCACAGCATATTCAATATGTGGTCTTACCAGTGATTTATAAAGAGGCAAAATGATATTCTCATCCCGAGAATGAATGCCCTTTTTCATGCATGACAATACTTTACTGGCCTTAGCCACTGCTGATTGACATTGCACATTGTTGCATAGTTTGTTGTCTATAACAATTCCCAAGTCCTTTTCGTGTGTTGTTATCCCTGATTCGCTTCCATTAAGGGTATACGTTGCTTGTGTATTCTTTACGCCGAAGTGCATAACCGAAGTGCATTTTTCAACAATAAATTTAATCTGCCATTTGAGTGACCAGTCCCCCAGTCTATCTAAATCCCTCTGCAGCAAAGTAATATCTTGCTCACATTGTGTTATTTTACAGAGTTTTGTGTCATCTGCAAACACTGAAACATGACTTTCAATGCTTTTTTCAAGATCATTTATAAACATGTTAAATAGAAGGGGTCCCAGAACAGAACCCTGAGGGACACCACTTGCCACCTGTGTCCAGCTTGAAAATTTACCATTAATGACAACTCTTTGTACTCTATTTTTAAGCCAATGTTCTACCCAAGAACAAGCATTTTTATCTAGACCGATTTCCTTGAGTTTGAACACTAATCTATTGCGTGGAACTGTATCAAATGCCTTGGCAAAATCCAAATAGATCACATCCACTGCAACACCCTGATCTATACTTCTACTTACTTCTTCGTAGAACGCAATCAAGTTAGTTTGACATGACCTGTACTTCACAAAACCATGCTGATTTTTGCTGATAACCATGTTCTTCTCAAGGAATTCTTGAATATTATCCCTTAATAACCTTTCAAATATTTTCCCAGCCACAGAAGTTAAAGGACCACTATAGTGCCAGGAAAACATACTTGTTTTCCTGGCAATATAGTGCCGTGAGGGTGCCCCCACCCTCAGGGTCCCACTCCTGCCGGGCTGAAGGGGGAGGAAGGGGTTAAACACTTACCTTTCTCCAGCGCCGGGCTACCTTGGTGCTGGAGACTCTCCTCCTCCTTTCCCCATCATTGGCTGAATGCGCATGCGCATTTTCCTGCACTATAGTGCCTTGAGGGTGCCCCCACCCTCAGGGTCCCACTCCCGCCAGCCTGAAGGGGTTAAACACTTACCTTTCTCCAGCGCCGGGTTACCTCGGTGCTGGAGACTCTCCTCCTCCTTTCCCCATCATCGGCTGTATGCGCATGCGCGGCAAGAGCCGCGCGCGCATTCAGCCAGTCTCATAGGAAAGCATTCTCAATGAAAATCACAGTGAGAAGCACGGAAGCACCTCTAGCGGCTGGATTAACCCATAGGTAAACATAGCAGTTTCTCTGAAACTGCTATGTTTACATCAGAAAGGGTTAATCCTAGGTGGACCTGGCACCCAGACCACTTCATTGAGCTGAAGTGGTCTGGGTGCCTATAGTGGTCCTTTAAGCTCACAGGTCTATAATTTCCAGGCAAGGATTTTGAACCCTTTTTGAATATAGGAACCACATCTGCCTTCCTCCAATCCTCCGGAACACTTCCTGAAAGAAAAGAATCTTGAAAGATTAAAAACAGAGGTTCACTTATTTCTACACTTAGTTCCTTAAGTACTCATGGATGGATACCGTCAGGCCCTGGAGCTTTGTTTATATTAACTTTCTTTAGTTGCTGCAGCACCTTATCTTGAGTTAACCAATTACAATTATTCTGCAAGTTTTTAGTAGCAATCATTTGCACATCTATTGCCATGGGTTCTTCCTTAATATTTTATATTATAATATATGATATATTTATTTATATATTATATATGTTTTGATATTGTAATATGTAGAGAAAGCCATTTGAAAAGTTTCCCCGAAAGTATTAAATCATTTGGAAAAGTTATCCAAATTTCAGTGGGCAATACAATGCTGGCAAAACAATTAATTTTCATTGGCCCATATAACCAAAAAAGGAATGAAAATGCAGAAGCTCTTGAAAAAGTCACAAGACAAAACGAATTGAGCAGTCCCGAGTAAGCCAAAGAACTACAGCCAACAATTATTACCTGCACAACTTTGAAGGACATTATCCTGTTTCCAGTATCAAACATTTTTGAGGACTGGTGAGAACAGCGATAGATTGACATCCTGAGGTACCATTAGCTAACATCATCAACCTTATGGGGACTTAGCCCATTGGTGGCTGAAAAGCTTATTTGTACAAACATATATTTATCTTTGTGCCACTCGATTTGTGTGTGTATCTCTGTTATTTTTATCCTTTTTGTGTTATGTATTCTTTTTCTTATGTTTATATTCCATGCCATATTCTAACTTCTGAATTGTAAAAATGAAATCACACTTGTGATAGTAGCGCCCTCACATGTATACGTTTTTTAACCTCAACTTTTTTGTGTATCTCCATCATCCCATGCTGAAAGGATGTTATGAATATCCTTAAATTTCATTCTTTTTTTTTTTTTACAAAATTTTACAGTAACTTTAAAAAAAAAAAGCAAAAAACAATTAATCAAATGTATATTTTTATCATTTTTCTTAATGCCTAAGATGCAAATACTACAGTTTTATATTAGACCATTAAAAGATCAACCAAAAGGGCCACAATGCACCCACAGAATCATGTAGTAAAACTCAATGTGCGCGCAAATGCTTTAATTCATTTAAGAACTGTGAACAAATTTGTCTTTTAGTCCTCAGTGCTAGCCACAGTCCTGAATAAATTCACATTCAGTGAGCACAATATGACTGTTAACAAATATTAGAAGCCCTAAATTGTTTTCAGTTGTTGAAGGAATCCTTCAAAAAAAATAATGCCTCAATTTAATATTTTTCAATATTCGATTTTCAAAGGATTTACTATTTTTAGATAAGCTTTTAAAACGATTTAATATTTTAAAACATATTTGATTATTTTTTAAACATTGATTTATATATATATATATATATATATATATATTCACATCATACATTTTAAAATTTCAAAAAAACGTATTTTTGAAAGTTTATCCAAAAATAGTAAAT